GGTCTCCAGGGCTGTCAATCTTCACAGAAGCAAAGCCCAAACCACACCCACTGCCTGGAGTGGATTCTGACCCACAGCGCCCCTAGAGGACAGAGTCTCCATAGGGTCTCCAAGCCTGTTAATCTTCACATAAACAATGTCTCATCTCTCTCCCACAGAGCAGTCGGTGGGTTTGAACCACTGACCTTTTGGTTGGCAGCTTTAAGCTTTATAGCCTTAAGCACTATACCACCAGGGTTCCTTAATTAACAGACATCTAAGGAGGAATCCAAGAATCCCTGCACTCTTCCACCTTCCAGCCCCTGGACAGACTTGGTTATCAAGCTCTACCATTTGCATCCTAACTATTTCTCAACTCCACAGTCCACCCCCTGCTCTACTTGGCCTGAACTGGTACAGCAGCCCCCAAGTGGTCTGTCCGTCTGTCAGCAGACTTGGTGTTTCTATCTCCGGGGCAGCAGGGCACCACAGAAAGACACATCCCGCAGTCACTCCTCGTCTAGACGGTAAAAACTAAACTCCCAGTGCAGTCGACATGGCCTCCATGGAGTCCCTCCCACACAATCTTCCCTCACCTTGCAGTACAGCATTTGGCCTTGAGCTCTAAGCGCCTCCAAGGACGCCCTCTGGTGTCCTGCATACACCACACACACTGTCTCCCCTCCACACCTTTGCTCAGCTGAGCGGCTCTGCCCACTCTCGAGACAGCCACTCCTGAGCTCAGCTCAGGGACATCCCTTGAGGACAGGCTCATCGGACATTTCCCTGGATCCTCTCTGCCTCTCTACAGAGCGACTGACTGACTACCTGTTCCTGGACAGACTGGTCTGTGTGTCCACCTCACACTGCGAGCAGGCCAAGGGCAGGAACAGCATGAGTGCAGTTTCACAGCCCCAACTGCTCCCCGATCAGTCCTGGCACGTGGCACTCCACTGGGGGGAGTGTGACAGTCTGTACCCACTGTACAGAAACACACACTCACCACCTGGTTAAACTGAATTTCTATTAACAGCTTGGATCACCTCACACTGGATGCACGGACGAGCCAAAGTCTGGGCCTATCCACACACGACTCCTATCCCCCGACCTCAAAGGCATCTTGAATTCTGGATACTAGGGATTTGTGAAAGCTGAGGTGGACGCGGGGGAAAGAGAAAACGTACAAAGCCAGTTACCTCTGTGAAGACGGCATGGCGCTCCAGACCCATCGAGCAGAGGTGTGCCTGGAGGAAATCCACGAAGGAATTGTGCTGCTGACCGTAGTAGTATTCCTGGGACAGCGCCTGGGCCGCAAAACACCCCAGCGAGGACGCACTCAGCCGCACCACTGCGTCGGGGGTGGCACAGCCCAGCAGGATCAGCTTGGCGTCCTCCAACACCATCTGGAAGAGGTCGCCGCTCAACTTGCTGGGAGCACGCCTCTCTATGACCTGCAGCACCACGGAGGCACACGTGTCCGAGTGGTAGCCTATGAAGACCTCGGACGGGCTGTATCTGTGGCTGGCTTGGAACTGACCTGCTGGCACGTGGATGAAGTCCTGCACCCACGCCTTGAGCTTTTCTACAATGTTCTTCTGCCATTTCTCCAGCACAGTATTGATGTCCAGGTAGTGCTTCTCCAGCCGGTTGATGAGCGGGATGGGGAAACGTGCGTACACAACTTCTTTCTCTTCAATGACGATCAAACGGAAGGCCGGGTGAACCCGGCACTTGACGCGATGGGTGCCCAGGCCCAAGTCCACGTACTTCTGCCCCCCCAGGTAGACGTAGTACTGGTTGAGTGCGTCGTACAGGCTCTCATAGAGGTTTTGCAGGTTAAGCAGGACCACCATCTTGCCGGTCTCCATGCAGACCTTCACACGGTTGATGTTTCTGCAGACCTGGGTGTACTCCTGGTCCCTGGGAAAACTGGAGCCAAAAATAATCTCTGGCTGCTGGTCCTCGCTGAAGAACATCTCCTGGAGGATCTGTAGGGCCACGTAATTCTTGGTCAGCACAAGTAAGTAGCGGCACTCAGCATCTTCCAGCTCCTGACCCATCTGATGGTCGCCGAAAATGTTCTGCCGGATCAGCTGGACCGTGCTGACTTCTTCAGAGCGCTTCGCCTCGGGTAAACTGGCCATAAAAATGTCCAAAGCATGGATGTCGTCTTTACCACTGAAGTTTCGAAGGATGGCCCGTGCGAGGTCTTGCGGGGAGGGCTTTTTATTGGAAGCTTTGGCCGAGGCAAAGACCATTTTGATGAGGCTATAGTAGTCACGAAGCCCAAAGAATTCCTTGTCCTGGCTCTTGCACACAGTCTCGTAGCCCTTGGCAAAGGAAGCAAAGTACCCTTGGACTCGGTCCTGAACGAGAGTGTCCGAATGGCAAATCCCCTTGGCACTCGCGATGAGCTCTTTCTTGTTGGGACTGCCACGTGACACAAAAATGCCCCGGTTCATCTTGGCGGGGTCCAGGGCCCAGTTGGAAATGCCAACGAAGCCCACTTTTTTGTGGGGGGCGGGGTCGTCTTCAATGCAGCCGTCCTCCAGCAGTGGGTGCAAAGCCTTCAGGGGCATCTTGGGAGAGTCTTCAGCCAGCCCGACCTCATCTAACACCACCACGGAGACATACTGCTGCAGGTCCTTGCCCTGCTGGAAGCGAGCACACTGCTTGAAGGTGCCGATGATGCCCTGGGGGGTGGAGTGCGGGCTGCACTGGAACGACACCAGGTGCACCTGCTTCAGGTTCCGGAAGAGATCCGAGTAGGCTGCCTGGCCTTGCATGGCGTCGGCCACAATGGTCTTGGCGAGAGATTTGGAGCTGCCGGGCTTCCCCACCAGGAAGAGAGGGATCCTAAGCTCAATGCAGACCACCATCATGAATACGTTCTCCTTCAAAGCCAAGTTCCTGGCAATGGTTTTTCTCAGAGGTACACCACTCAGAAAAAGATCCTGCGTTTGACTGATCTCATCCAGGATAACTCTGCTGTCATTATATGGTTCTGGAAGACACTGGCAGATGGCTTTCCTATATGATTCCTTCTTTTCTAATGAGGCGTGGTAACAGACCCCAATGGCCTGCACCAGAGACCAGAGGACAGGACTTCTCTCAAATGGATGTTTTACGTCACCTGACTTCAAAAGGAAGGATTCCAGTTTTGCCAGGAGCATCACACTGTGGTCATAAAACCACCTGAAGACTTTCACGCAGCGTTCCACGTCCCGAAGGCTGACAAAGCTACACTCGTTTTCCCTTTGCCTCATGAAAGCCTGAGAGGCAGAAAGCACTTCTGTGATCAGAAGACTCTCATCTTGCCCTATCACGACGGAGTCCATCAGCCTCTGGACAATTTGCTGAATGTAGAGCTTTTCGGCAGTATCATTCAGCTGTCCGAAGTCCCACACCAGGGGAATCATGCTGGGGGGCAGAGCATGGACACGGTAAACCAACTGCCTCAGAGGAATGGAGCCCAGCTTCTCCACTGTCTCCTCCGAGCTCACTCTGTAGCCCAGCCCCGCCGACTCCAGGCGGCGGATCATCTCCTGCGAGTGCTTCCGGTAAGGGTTGCAGGCGGCAATGATATGCAAACCGGAGTTCTCAGCCAGGGGCTCACCGTTCACCGTGTGGTCACACAGCACTTCTTTGATACAGCTGATGGCTTCTGTTGTGTTGGCTTCATCAAAGAACAAGATGGTGTCGAGCTCATAGTGGGTCTTGTTGAAGATGGCGATGTTCTCAGCCTCCCTGACCTTGGAGTAGATCATGTCTGCAGTGGTTCCTCCATGAACCTTGACCAACTTCATTGTTTCTGTATTGACACCCCCACGCCTCAGGTCACTAAAGAACTTGATGAGCCTGGTTTTCCCGCAGCCGGTTTCTCCCATGATGACAACGGGGATCCCACACCGGAACCGCATCTCAATGCCAAGGATCTTCAACATGTTGTCTGTTGTGAGCTCGTAGGTTTCATCAGGGTCAATGGGCCACTGGATCCCTAACACCATGCAGAGCTTTTCCAGTTTCTGGTGTCTGGGCAGCTGATCAAAGTCCACGTTGAAGGGCACCCTCTGATGCAGCAGCCCTCTGTACAGTTCCATCGCCATGACGTCCTTCTTGATGACGCTCCCATTCAAGAGATTGATGGCATCAAGGGCATTGTTCTCATTGGGCCGGAAATGGAAGCCAATGAATGTCATGGATATGTGGTCCCCGTTGAAGAAAACGTAGGGGTGGGGCTCTGACTCCCACCTCCGCCGCAGAGTGAAAGGAGCTAGATCCTCTTCCTTGACCCCGTCCATGTTCACCATAGGAGTCCCTGGGCTCTGGTCAGAGCTGCTCAGGGTTGGCGTGGCAAAGTCTCTTGCCATAATGATCATGAAGGTGACCACAAAGTTCTTGAAGCCCTGCAGTGTGTCTCCAATGAAATAAGGCTTACAGAAATCAGAGGCCTCGCAGTCTTTGAGCTGGTAATTCAGGAAGCGAGCAAAGTTCCGAAGCTCTGACCACGACGGGTCAATCACCCCGCAGTAAATCAGCAGATGCTGGAGGCACTCCTCGGGCGTGTCTTCAACGAAGCCTTCGTACTGAAAAGTATCCAGGTTTTGCTTTTGATGGAATCGTTTCAAATACTGGTACGGTCTTTGGAACGTTTCACTGCAGAACTCCTCCTGATCCATCCCAGGATCTCTGGGCTTTGCCGCTGGGTTCAGACCCATGTCCATCACCTCTTTGGGAGGCCGGCAAGTGATTTTGGGGAAGATGTCAAGAAAACCAAACTTGGGGGAGTGGGTACCCTGGAAAAGAGACATGAAATAAATAAATTGTCATGACTAAATGACCCTCTAAAAATTGCTTCTGCAATTCCGTTACTAGGTATATATCCTAAAGAACTGAGAGCCATGACAAGAACAGATATATGCACACCCATGTTCATCGCAGCGCTATTTACAATAGCCAAAAGATGGAAACCTAGGTGCCCATCAACAGAGTAACAGATAACCAAACTATGGTACATACATACAATGGAATAACATGCAACCCTAAAGAATAACATAGCATCTGAAAACACCACGTAATGTGAATGAACTGGGAGGACATTATACTGAGTGAAATAATTCAATCACAGAAGAACAAATATTGTATCAGTCTGTTATTGTAAAAGTCAAGGAAAGGTTTATATATGGAAGGAAATTTTCTTTGTTAGTTACCAGGGGTGTGAGGGGAGGGGAGGGAACACTGTTAGATAAGGAGAGACAAGTATTGATTTGGGAAAAGGGAAGGGCAATGTACCAGGTATGAGTGATCAACACATGGCACCGAGGAAGAGGATGACACAGAGAAGCGAATGGGAGGGGCAGACAACACAGATGAACACACAGCACTGCACTGTCAGTGAAGGCAAACATGACTATACAGGTGGAGAGATGGGTAGACAGGCTGAACGATTAAGTATGTTTATGCAGAGGGGAGTGTGCCCAAGACCACATATAGGGTTGGCAGACAATGTTTCTACACATGTATTTGTATGTTCTGTAAGAATTCCCAGATATATAGTAGAACTGACAAGGGACAAGATTGTAGTCACTTCTTGGGCGTAGCCAGCTACCCAGAGGAAGCAAGTAGTTGGACCTGTGGGCTCGGAACCACGGTTGCAGAGGACACCAAGCTCAACTGGCGTCACATACCACACAAAACATTGTTCCACATCCTACTGTGGCAAGTAGCGACTGGGATCTTAAAAGCTTGCAACTGGTCACCTAAATGCAATAATGGGTCATTCCTTGTCCAGAGTAAAGAAGAATGAAGAAAACCAAAGATTCATGGAAACAATTAGTCTCATGACTGGTACACCATGCGATCCACAGCCTATATGACTATGAGACCAGAAGAACTAGATGGTGCCCAGCTACCACTGTCAACCACTCAGGTGGATCAGGGCAGGAGATCCTGGACAGAGTGGGAGAACAACATGGAACAAAACTCAAAATCATTTGGGGAAAAAGAAAAAAAGGGACCAGGTTTGCTAGTCTGATAGAGCCTGATGGAACCACCGAGACTATGGCCCCTCGCTGCCCTTCAGGTCTGGAATTGAACCCACTCCTGTGGCTTCCAGCCAAACAAAAGACAGGCACATGAGCTGAACATTTATATTAAGTAGACACACTACTTGGAGAGATCAATCATGGGAGAATAGTAGGGCTATGTATGCACAGGGACACAGCTCGGGGGCAGGAGGGCATGGCTGGAAGGGCACAGGGAAGAGGTAACTATGGGGAGGAAGTGGGAGGAGAGCTGTTGCACTGTGGTAAATTGCAGTCAATGTCAGGAAACAAAGTGTGTGTGAGCTGCTGTATGGAAAGTGAATTTGCTCTGTAAACTTGCACCCAAACCACAATAAAATTTTTTTTAAAAAACTGCTTCTGCATTTGAGTGCTCCATGAAGTCTATGTTGGACAGAGTTTTAAGAAAACATCACTTAAAAGCGTGTAGCTTTCTGTGAACTCCCTTTCACACAGGCTGCCATAACATGCACACTAACGCCATGAGACCTGCAGCCTTTATCTTAATAATTCTTCAGGAAATTACTTTGCAACCCAACTTCTTGAAGCTCAATTTCTCCATTAAGCATGTATGTACGTGTGTGTGCGTCATTTTTGTTAAGAAATTTCTGTGGCAAAAGTCTCCCTCCCATCTCAGCTGGCAATGAGAAAGAGGACACCTCTCCGAGGGGAGAAATTTACTGTGCTCACAGCACACTGGGATTTAACCTGGACACAGAGCATGAACGGCACACACGCACACTGCCAGCTAACAGAAGAGCACTTTTATCTAGTCTACGCACAGTTCAACGACACGTTGAAGGCCTGAGTTTTCTTTACCAACACTGCACTTGGCAGCAGCACACAGTGAATGACAAAAACCTGCCGCCCACAGTAAGACCCGAGGAATGTCAACTCCCTGCCCAACATGAGGAAGAAGCTCTGTGGACATACCAGTCTTGAAGGCCTGTTTGGCACAACAGAATTCTTTTCCAGGATTTCAATGACGTATAAATGGCAGGGACTGCGAAACCACATCTTCCCGTTTACGTCCATTAAGTATCGGAGCACGAGGAGTTTGAAAAGGAAGCCCCAGATTCCAGACTGCACCTAGAGACACAATCACGTGGGTTTAAAGGAGCTCTCATGGCATAGTGCCTAAGGCACCTGACTGCTAACCAGAAGGCTGGCGGATCAAACCCACCAGCCACTCCTCGGAAGGAAGACCAGGCAATCTACTTCCGTAGAGATACTGCCTCAAAAACCCAAGGAAGGGTCCCTGTGAGTCGGAATCAACTCAACAGCAATCAGTTTGTTTTTTGTTTTGTTTTGACTGAAGACCAGTCCCTCAACCTATAAGGTCCTCTGATTTTGTTCTCTGGCGGGATGACACTGAACTTCCATACCTGTAGAAAGGGGAAACTCTAGATTCTGAAAAAGGGGCAGCTCAGGACATGGGGCTATGTCTCCCCTGACTGGGCCCCCGGGCTATAAGGAGGGGGCAGGTCAGGACTCGGGACACCGTCTCCCGAGTGGATCCGAGGGTGGAGGAGGGGGCAGGTCGTAACTTGGGGCTTCGCTGTCTCCCGACTGGATCCGTTGTGTAAAGAGGGGACCGGTCAGGACAGGGGGCTGAGTCTCCCGAGTGTCCCCTCATCGTGAGGAGGGGGCAGGTCAGGACGAGGGTTGTCTCCTCTGACTGGATCTGTCCTTGTCAGCAGAGGGCAGGTCAGAACAGGGGGCTGTGTCTCCCCTGAGTGGACCCTTGGTATGAGGAGGGGTCAGGTCGTGACTTGGGGCTTTGCTGTCTCCCGACTGGATCCGTCAGTGTGAGGAGGGGGCAGGTCGCGACGCACAGCTGTGTCTCCCACCTCCAACCCGGGCACTTACTGACGAGGTCACGTCGAAGTGGAAAACTGCGGGGCATCTCTGGCGCCGTGCGCTCAGGAAGGGCAGGAGGGTGCGCAGGACCTGGCTTTCATCCACTTGGGGATCCATCAGTCGGATGACCTTGAGGGGCACGTCTCTCTCAGGGAACATGGTCTCCAGCCTGCTGTGAAGTCTCTTCACATAGAGAGACTTTCCTGTGAGATGACAGGCGACAATCAGGGCCAGGACCTCAGACGGAGCATCCTGGTTAGCGGCTCCTTCCGTGTGCGCAAACCTCCAGAGAACGCACAGAACCCACGTGACGCAGGTGCCCCGTGACCTGAGATGGTGCCAGTGACATAACCCGGGCACAAGAAACAGCAGAAATACGGGGCGAGGGGGCCTCCAGCGGTCGTCCAGCTGGAGCATGGCCCCACTATTCAGGTAAAGTCAGGACTGAGGGAAACATCTGCTTTTCCCAAACCTCGGTGGTGTTCCCAGACCACGCTCTTTCCCAGAATGCAACGTGAGGCTAGGGGAACTTGACGGTGACTGGGTTGGGAGGGACAAGGGCCTCGGTGCCTTTGCCAGGCAGGGTCCTAACATCTCCCCTGTTCTCATAGCCACTAACCCCAAAGAGGACAAGGAACTCAACTGCAGAGAAGCCTGCTTAGGCGGGAAAGGCTAGGGGTGGTCAGAGGAATTGCCCCCAATACTGGGCACCAGGTAAGAGAGGGCACCCCCTTCCGGCACAGGCCCTGACTGACAACATGAGTCTAAACCTCCCTGAGGCTCAGTTCCCCCCCAGTCAGACAAGGGGACGTCCTCACGGGTCCCCGTGAGAAGTGGGTCCGGAGAGCGCGACTGAGGCCTTACCAACACCAGCTCTCCGCGACGCCACCACCCCGACGCACATCTGGTCCCTGAACACCGCGGCTGCAGATGGGGTCTGCGGGGGGACCCGGAAGTGGCTCTCCAGGTAGGCCTGGATGTCCTGGAGCGGCGCCTGTGGGGTGATGAGGACCTTGTACTGGCTGAAGGCTGAGGGCAAGTAGCAGTGCTCCCGGTCATAGTCGCAGATCAGGACAAGCTGGTAGTCGTCATGGTGAGGCTGTAGGCACAGGCGCTGGAAAAGGGCTTCTGCCTGGCAGCCCACCTCGTAGCTGAGCCGGTCCGCGAACAGCAGGCTGTACACCTTGCGGCCCCTGGAGCCCAGGGTGAGGCAGCGGCGCAGAAGCAGGGCCACCTCCTCGAACGTGGTCTCAGGGGTGCAGAGCAGCACCTCATCGTAGGTGGGCAGGGGCTGGCGCGGGGCCTCCATGTAGACGGCCAAGGCGGCCAGCAGCACCTCCGAGTGGCCACAGACGACCAGGTTGGGCTGGCCAGCCTGCAGGCCTCTGGGCAGACGCCGCTCCACAGGGGACCCGCTCGCCGTGGCCAGGTGAGCCAGACAGCAGCCAAGGGCGTCCAGGTCCAGGCAGTGAGGCAGGAAGGCGCTCATGCACCACACTGACTGCTCCATGATGACCCTCAGCTGGTCCACCAGGCTGAGCTCCGAGGAGAGCAACCGCGGGAACTCTGCCATCACTGTCTGCACGTGGTGTCTGCCGGCCGCGCCGCCAGTCCTGCTGGAGGCATCTGAGACCGCCCTGGGGCTGCAGTTGCCGCCGATGGAGGACAGCATCATCAGCGCTGCCTGGCTGGGGCTTGGCTTCCTGAGCTCCGTGCTCAGGTAGACCAGCTGCTCGGCCGTGTAGAAGTTGAGATAGAAGTGCTCAGCTCGCTTCTCCTCCACAAACTCCTTCCAGCGGTCCAGGAAGTGCTCCATCTGCCTGCACAGGGCCTCCAGCAGCCCGGCCACCTCCCCACTGCCCAGGAGCTGGCCCACCAGCTCCAGGTTGAAGTCTATGAGGATGGAGATGCTGCTCTGGGGGCAGCAGTATACCTCCGCGGTCCAGGTTCTGAACAGCATGTTCCCAGCAGAGTAGAGGTTCATGAAGGATTGGACCAGCCTCTGCACGTTGCAGAACACCTGCGGAAACAGGGCCGTGACGGGGATGCCACACTACGTCCAAAACACCCATGGAAAACAGGGCCGTGAGGGGGACACCACAGGGCACACTACGTGCAAAACGCCCGCGAAAACGGGGTCACAAGGGGGACGCCACACAGCCACACTAAGTCCAAAACACCCGCGGAAAATGGGGCCATGAGGCGGACCCACAGAGTGCACTACGTGCAAAATACCCACAGAAAATAGGGCCACAAGGGGCATGCCACAGAGCCACAGTACATGCAAAACACTCGCTGAAAACGGAGCCATGGAGTGGGCGCCACACAGCCATACTACGTGCAAAACACCCGTGGAAAACAGGGCCATGAGGTAGGCACCACACAGCCACACTACATGCAAAACACCCACAGAGAATGGGGCCATGAGGTGGGCGCCACAGAGCAGCACGAGACAGGCAGAAAGCCTAGAACGACCTAACAGGATGGACTCTGAAGGAGATGGCTACACGTCTGTCCTCCGGCCCACTGTGACCGCATGCACACGGTGCTGTGGCTGCCAGTAAGCCAGCCCCTGGCCACAGTGTCCAACTCATGTCTGCCCTGACTCACGTAGCCCTGCACCACGCCTGTGGTCAGCTTTTGAGTGGACCGCTGTGACTCACAAGCTTTCATCGGCCAGCAGTCAGAACTAGCCCCGGAACCCTCCTCCTGTGTGTCTTGGTCTGAAAGCTCTGCTGACACCTGTCGGGCATCCCAGCCCTGACAGGTGGGCTGCACTAGAGGGGCACCAGGCCAGAATCAAACCTGGGTCTCCCACATGGGGGCAAAAATTCTACCACTGAACCATCGAGCGCCTCTGCGCAAAGATCAATTTATCACGACAGGCCCCCCTTCTCCTTCCTACAATGGGCCTCACAGCAGGGCTGTCTTCCGCAGCAGGCAGCAGGGCGGACAGACACAGGCATTAAAGTGAACCGCAGCTGAATTTTACAGAGAGACGCAAAAGGAACTTAGGAGGCAATCACAGAAACCGACACGCCTCTGGGTGTTTCTGGATTCTGGCCGCCTGCGAGGGTGACTGAAGCAAGTGAACCTTCTTCCCAAAGACTAGGCTCCCTCTTCTCTAGGCCAGTGGACCAGCTGACAGCTCATCCGATGGCTGCTAAGGGCCCGTCGTGCCTGTATTCTCTCCTTGGGCCTTGAACCTGGCATTCCGCACACTCACTAGCTCTGTTCTCCAGGGGCGTTTAGCAATTAAATGCCAACTCGAGCCGCACTGTCTCTCTCCTGCAGCCCCAACAGACGGGCCGGTGGCGTGCACCCAGCTCTGGCGTGACCCTGGTGCTCACCTCAGAAAACGCCTCCACTTCAGTGTTGCTTTGATCTTTCTTGCCAGACATCAGCATCAGCTTGTTCAAAAGCTCCTTTAGTTCTTCCAAAGTATACTCTCGTGTTTGTTCCAGGTCCCCGTGGCACTCGGGCAGGACCAGACGCAGGACCGAATCTGCAGAGATCTGGGGCACAGCGCAAGGGGAGCCGTCAGACCCCACGTGGGCAGCACCCCAAGAGCGCCCTCAACGCCCGCCCGGGGCCCCAGGGCGTTCACCTTTTGGCCGTCTGTGGGAGCCTTGATGACATAGATGCCGTTGTTGTTGATGGCTTTTGCCAGGGACAGGGACGAGAGCTCTACAGACCCGTGACTCTCCTTCACTGTTTTCAGCCATTCCAGATTCCTGGCAGAGTCGCGCTGTTGGGACAAAAGTGGAGGCAATGAGCCGAGAGTCCCCGCCAGGCCTCTGCTCCCCAGTCCCTCCTAGGAGACGCTGCCGCGCCCCACACCCATGACTGAGCTGGGGACTGCTCCAGGGGCGTGTGCTCATTCCTGCAGGACGTCCGTCCCTTGCTATTGCCGTTGCTGGAAGAGGCTGTTGACCTGAGTCTCCACCACAACCTAGGGCCCTGGCCAGCACAGGGAGGCACTCGGCCTGTGTTCATGGACATGGACGAGGACGGAATGGCATGAAGCCCATTCTCCTGGGAAAGGCCACTAGCCTGCCGGTCCTTCAGCATAAAGAACCTGTCAGGAGCTGTGCTGGACCCAGGGCTATGGGGCCTGAGGGTCCAAACGTCCCTCTGTGGCCACCCAGCACCCTCAGAAACTTAAGGCAACCCTGCAACAGAAGCCTGCGTTAGCGTCGAGCTTCCAGCCAAGAAAACGCCAGCAGCCCGTCTGCTTCTCCGCCTCTGCCGACAATGCCGTCCTGAGGCTGGTCCCGGTTCTGGGCAGTATCTGCTTGTTAGGGGGCTCCCATAGCATTTGTCAAGTACGTCTGCAAGGGCCCTGTGCAGACAGCTTACTGAAACGTAAGTGCTTATTCTTCTCCTAATAAAACATTCACATGGCAACTGAAGAAGGTATGAAAAGTATCAAAATATACAAGACGTAGCAGAAACTGCTGGGCTACCACTCCGACAACTGCCAGGAGTCACTGCCAAAACTTACAACACTTAATAAGGTGTCAAGAAAGTGAGAAAAACGTGTTAGTGAGCCTCCTCTCCCCTGTCTTCCCCTAAGTTTGTATCAGAGATTACGGTCACTTACAGACAGCATAAGCTTTAACATAAGCGAGAAGGTGCCTATGTAGATAAACACCTGTGGTGACCATCCTAGCAGAACCCCAGGGGGCAGGGGTCTTTGTCATTTGTACCTGAGTCACCCTTTTGTGCTGTGGGTGTGAGCTGTGAGCTGTTACACTTAGCTGCTCCAGCGAGCACCAAGACTTACCAGTTTCTTGGGCAGGTCTGGGTCATTTTCCAGAGCCTTCCATAGCTCTTGCAGCTGGCGCATGAGCTCAGCGAAACCGGCCTTCTTGGGGAGCTTGTACAGGAGCGCGTCATAGCCCTGCACGGCGTCATGGAAACAGGCCACGCGGTCCACGTCAATGTCATTCTCGCCCGCCGAGATGGATGCCAGGTCCACAAACACCTTCAGCTCGTTGTTGTCTTGGGAAGAGAAGAGATGAGGTCAGCGTCTCAGACTCAGCTGGACAGCACCCTCGCTGAGGTGTGAAGTGGATGCTGGATGGACACTCGGGGCCCATCGACCATCTGCTGTCGCCATTTTCCCACGGCACTCACTGCTAGCCCTGACCGAGCAAAAGCAAGGTCCTGGGCCCTGCACAGGCTACTCCACTCCATCCACGAAATGTCCCCTTTTATACAAAAGACACTGAGGCTCACAGAGTAAACACGGTGCTGATGTCACCTAGAGAAAAATGGGTTACGTTCTCGGGCTAATCGCTAATCAAGGATGTGACTCCAAGAGGGTACTCCATGGCAGAAAACGGGCTCCCACCGCCCTCTGCACCCCCGCGTCTCCCTGCACACAAGCCCGGCCCACCTGCCCCTCTCCTCCTCCTATGAGCGAACTCTGTCAACGGCACTCTGAGCCACAGGGTGCAGAAGCTGCCTAGCCCTGTGCTGGGAAAGAGACGCAGCGCACATTGTCCCCAAAGATGCCGTAACCAAACCTCTGGGGCAAGAGCTAGCCTTGTCCTCGAGCAAAACAGCAACCAGAGGAAAGTGAAGGGGCCCCCGGCTGTCCACAGCAAGCAGCCCAGAGTGGGGGCAAGCGGGAAAGGGAATGACTTTCACACCAGACTGAGAACCACTGTCCTGCCAGGAACCACAAACCACACGCTGCATTTCTGTGTAGACAGTGCAGTCAGGGCTCTGGCTCTGCCCGGGGTGCTCAAGGGGACGGGCTCCCTGGAGGTTCCAGAAACCCCCCAGACAAACACCTGGAGCCCTTGCGAGGCCCCTGGCCACCTGGGCACGCCTCTCACCTCCCAGGGCCTCCTGGACCCAGCTGATGAAGTCCCTCCTCAGGGACAGCTCCGCCAAGCACTGGCACCGCACGTCACTGACGCTCTCCAGCAGCTTCCGGGCCTGGATGAGCTGTGGGCTGATCTGGGTCAGCTTCTCATGGCGAAAGCGGTCAAAGGCTTCCGTCTGCAAGACAAGGTTTGGCTGTAGGCCAGCAATGGCTGCCTGGAGTCCCCCAGTCTGAGAGCAGCAACAAGGCCACCTGGTTGGGGAAGCCTTCCTCCCCACAATTTCTACACATTCAGCTGCCAGAGCAACAGGCAAGTAAAAGGAAAACACTTCTAACCCTTGAACTAGACGAGGGGTGAAAAATACCCCTTTGCCGCCAACTGAGCCCATGTGTCAGAGCAGAGCTGTGCTCCGCAGGGGACACGGCGCCGAGCACTTCAGACACGGGTCACCAGGCCTCTCTTCCAAGGCCCCTCGGTGGACTCGGACCTTTCAGTTAGCGGCCGAGCCTGTTAATGAACCGCACCACCCAGGCACCCTGGACAGGGGTGAGGGTTTATAAAACGTAACGTCTGTTGCCCTCCACCCCAGAGTAACAACCCTCCTCTGTCCCTGACACTCTGCTGAGCATCTTACATGAGCTTAAACACTCTCATCTTGCAGTGAGGCTGCCAGGGGCACACTGCCTTTCTTCCTGTCGTGCGGATGAAGACACCGAGAGTCGTGACTGACCCGGACTTACATGTATGTGACTGCAAACCCTGGGCTTTCCAGCATGGTCATGCCCATCTGTACTATATTGCATTGCTACCGTGTGCTATCACCATTTTCCCACGGCACTCACTGCTAGCCCTGACCGAGCAAAAGCAAGGTCCTAGGTCCTGCACAGGCTACTCCACTCCATGCACGAAATGTCCCCTTTTATACAAAAGACCAAGGCTCATGGAGTAAACAGGGTGCTGATGTCACCTGGAGAAAAATGGGCTGTGTTCTTGTTACGGGCAGCACTGCAGCCCGCTCCTTAACGTAAGCGAGAAGGTGCCTGTGTAGACACGGAGTCAATGCTGACCTACAGCACCCTCAGAGGAGAAAGCACGGCCCCACAGGGTTTCCTAAGCTGTAAGTAACCTTCATGGGAGCACATCATCGGCATTTCTCTCCTACGGAGTAGCTGGTGGGTTTGAACCGCTGACTTCCGCTTAGCAGTCAAGCACACAACCAGTGTATCAACAGGGCACCTTCTGCTGTAATACACATCACAGTTACCAAAAACCAGAATGTCAAAGACTTTTGGATTCTAACAGAAAAATGGTCATGTGCTGCTCTGAGGCGGTGTGTGTGGACAGCCAACAACATCAACGCACGTTCCCCCTACAACCTGAGGAAACCGAGTCACTCCTTCCAAATACCTGACTACCGACAGTGGGTCGGCACCCTCTTCCTAAATGCGTGACCCTCCTGCTGCACCAGGTGACCTCAGCAGCTAAGGTGCACTTGCACTATAAACAACGGTGACAACGGAGCCCACAGCACATCCAAACAGGAAGCTGCGGACGCACCCTCCCCACCCATCAACACCCAGGCGGTCTGAGGGCTCCCAGGACTCTGAGGTAGGACCCCACCCCCACTGCCCACTGCCAGGAGTCGCTGCCAAAACTTACAACATTTAATAAGGTGTCAAGGACAGTGAAGTCACCAGTCAGGCCCAAATTCTCCTTGACCTTCAAGATGACCCTGGCTGAGTGAACGGCCTGGTGGAGGTGATGGTACTCCTGGATCTGTTCCACACGTTTCTGGACCCAGTGCTTTGGGTCACTCCCGTCCACACTGCACATGACCTGGAGGTCAAGAGTCAGGTCGCTGTACTTGTTGACAAAGTCTTTGAAGACGGCATCGACGTCCTCGAGGGTGACCTCTCCGGACTTGAGGTCCTCGTACAATTGAGTGAACCTCTCGTAAGAAGGACGATACAAAGCCTCATAGGCATCTTCAAGAAGGAGGGTCTCCTCTTCCGATTCCTCCTCAGGCTGCTTCAGTGACTCCGCGGCTTCCTCCCAGAACATCCTGAAGATGTGGCTGTCCCGCAGCAAGTCCGCCTTCTCGGCCATGTCCTGGACCTGGGGGCTCAGCCTGTAGTGTGTCCGGAGCTCCACCTCCGAGCAGGTGGACTGCCTCACCGTCACGGCTTCACTCAACCTCTTCGTGCTCAGGTCTTCCCTATGTTGGTGCGCAATCTCACCCAAATCCACTTTGAAACCACAAGAAAGTGCCAGAGTCAAACATCTGCTCACCATCACCATATGACATTAATTTCCGTCCCCAGTACTCACTCCTCACTTCTCTGAGGAAAGAGTGGATACAGTTGCTGGCTCCCCTCACCCCCAACGGCAATTCACAGACCTCCCCCCTCACCCCTTGGGCTTCCTGACAAAGTCTCATGATAAGGAAAGCTTTGTGACTTCTGGGGGAGGACAGTTTGAAAACACACAGGTATTCTCAAATCCCACCACAGACAGAACACTTGTCAAAAGTCAGAGGCCCACCAGGACAGGGAACAGGCCAATCAGACTCCATCCCCAGTTCCCTAAAAGCAAAGACACTGGTTGTGCCGGGAACCAGGAAAAGGCAGGTGGTAGGAAGATAAGGAACACTGAAACCCAAGGCTGTGTAACACGCGATCAGATGTGTTCATCGCTCTTGACCCCTCACAGTCAGCTTAGCAGGTGGATCCCCTCCTCCACCCTGGGAAACTGTGGCTCGTGTTCTAGGACCGTAACACGGTTCTCTGGAGTGAGCGCACGGATCCGAATCAATGGGTCCGGCAAGATCCAGACAGACTCTCGTTCCCAGGAAGATGACAGTGTGCACTGTTCACCCTCAGGGAGAAGAAAGAGGAAGACTTAGGATGAAAGAAACAGGAGCAAGGGAGCACTGGAAATGGGGGGGTTGAGTACGTTCCCACTGGACGCTGCCTGCCAGCCCTCTTCTCCCTTTTAGCTTCAGATGCATGGCAGCCAGGCCTGCACCGTCCGGGCAGGAGCCTACAAGTCTTTTCTGGAAAACCCGACCGGCCCAAGAGAAAAAGACCTGAAGACCCAGCGCGGATCGAAGGCCTGCCACACCCTCTGCCGGAGAACACAGCCAGGAAACCCAAGCCACGTGCTCAGCTTTCAGGCAGTGTTTGAAGCCCATCTTTTAATCTAAACAGACAAAACTTCCAGAACGGGAAGGGAGTACCTCACACGAACAGGAGCCAGAGACAGAAGCAATGACCTGGAGGAGACGGATGACTCCAGGCAAAGCAAGCCTCGGACGGAAAACACCAGTCTCTGGGAGGCCCTACAGTACGAACAAGAACAGGAGGGGCACAAAGTATGATTCGGGAAAAAAAGGGCTCCTAGAAATGAAATACTGAATGACGCAGGAAGCACCAACAGAAGATGGAAGGAACACACAGAGTCACTGGACCAAAAAGAACTGGTCAGTGTTCAGCTATTTCAGGTGGCAGCGTATGACAAGAACCAACGATACTGAAGGAAGAAGTCGAAGCTGCACCGAAGGAACTGGCGAAGAACAAGGCTCCAGGAACTGATGGAATACCCATGGAGACGTTTCAACTAACAGATGCCCTACCACAGGCACTCACTGGGCTATGCCAAGAGACTTGGAAGACAGCTACCTGGCCAACTGACTGGAAGAGATCCATACTTGTACACATTCCAAAGAAAGGTGATCCAACAGAACGTGGAAATTATTGAACAATATTGTTAATATCACACACAGTAAAATCTTGCTGAAGATAATTCAAAAACAGTTGCACCAATATATTGACAGGGAACTTCCAGAAATGCAAGCTGGATTCAGAAGAGGACGTGGAACAAGGAGTATCATTGCTGATGTCAGATGGATCTTGGCTGAAAACAAATACCAGAAAGATGTTTACTTGTGTTTTACTGACTACGCAAAGACATTTGATGGTGTGGATGAATTATGGGTAACATTAAGAAGAATGGGAATTCCAGAGTACTTAATTATACTCATGAGGAACCTGTACATAGACCAGGAGGCTGTCGTTTGAACAGAACAAGGGGACACTGCATGGTTTAAAATCAAGAAGGGAGTGCGTCAGGGTTGAATCCTTTCCCCACACTTATTCCATCTGTATGCTGAGCAAATAATCCAAGAAGCTGGACTATATGAAGAACATGGCATCGGGAATGGAAGAAGATTCATTAACACCCTGTGATACACAGACAACACAACTTTGCTTGAAAGTGAGTATGACCTGAAATGCTTACTGAAGAAGACCGAAGACTACAGTCTGCAGTACGGATTACACCTCAACATAAAGAAAACAAACCCCCTCACAACTGGACCAATAAGCAGCATCACGATAAATGGAGAAAAGACTCAAGTTGTCAAAGATTTCTTACTTGGATCCACAATCAACACCAATGGAAGCAGCAGTTAAGAAATCAGATGACGTACTACACTGAGCAAATCTGCTGCCAAAGACCTCTTTGAAGTGCTGAAGAGAAAAGATGCTTCCTTGAGGACGAAGGTTTTCCTGACCCAAGCCACGGTATTTTCAATTGCCTCATGTGCATGTGAGACCTGGACAATGAATAAGGAAGATCGAAGAAGAGTTGATGCTTTTGGGTTGTGGTGTTAGCAGAGAATTCTGAAAGTCCCGTGGACTGCCAGAAGAATGAACAAGTCTGTCCTGGAGGAAGTGCAGCTGGAATGCTCCTTGGAGGCAAGAATGGCCAGACTTTCTCTCACCTACTTTGGTCACGTTGTCAGAAGGGACCATTCCCTGGAGAAGGACATCATGCTTGGTAAAGTGGAGGGTCAGCGCAAAAGGGGAAGGCCCTCAATAAGATGGGTTGGCACAGTGGCTACAACGATGGGCTCAGGTGTAGCAAGGATTACAAGGATTGTGAGGCTGGCACAGGACCGGGCAGTGTTATGTTCTGCTGTGCACAGGGTCGCTATGAGTCGGAGACGACACATCAGCACCTAACAACAACAACAAATTTACTACATGTGAGAGCGTCACCAGGGACGACAGGAGAGCTAAGAAGGTGGTCCAGTCCAGTGCTGGGAGATTCCTGCCGAGACATCACACGAGTCGTCTTGAGAGGGACTGCAGGCCTCTAAAGAGTCCCTTCCAGGACTGATCGGAACATACACAAGAGACAAAGCATATGTAGAAAGACCAGCACCATTGTTCCCAAGGAAACAAAGTGTGCACGAGAAACTGCTTACACAGGCGGGATCCTCTAGGTCCTGAAGGGCGACTGAACTGAAATGATTAAACCCTGCGTGTCCATGGAGATGGAAAGGTTCTGTGTACGGGACACAGACAGAGACAAGAACCCAGTCTGCGTCTGACACAGTGGGTCCAGGCTAAACCAGAAGAACCAGGGAGACAGACAGGGAGGGAACTACCAACAAGAGGAAAAACTGAGCCCGAGAAAGGGGGGAACGCATGCACAGTTGTCAAAAAGTGTAACATTTTTTAAAAAAAACTCTCCCCTCCAAAAGAAAGCACTGTGTCCCCATCACTTTCCTCCCCGTGCCCTCCAGCCCCTCACCCCTGGAGACCCTTGTTGCTGACACTGTTGGCGACACTACCTTTGAGCAAGTGCTTCACCTTCTCACACAACTTTATGAGATTATCGATGCATCTTCGCTCCCTCTTTAGAAACAGCAGCTCACGCAGCCTCCAGGCCAGCACGGCCGCCACATCACACTCTTTCTCCTGTTTTTTCTCTGCAAAAACGAGAAACAAAGAAGGAACCCCGCAGGTCAGACAAACACATCCTTCCCTGGCCACCGCTTCTTCCGCCTCCCTCTGCCTGGGCTCCACCTTCGCTGCTGGGAGGGGGAGTGACGAGGAGGGCGCCCTGCACAGCCCCTCTGCCAACAAGGCCCAGAGCCTTGGAGCAAACGCAACAGCATACTCAGACCCAGCTACTCCGTTCCCACTTCCCTCTCACGTTCCCAAGAACTGAAAACCACCATCAAGTTACCGACAAGGAGAGCCGCTCTTTCCACAGACCACCCTGTCCTACAGCATCCACGGAAACACAGACAGCCCCCAGCCTCAGAGCTCCCCAGGTATCCCAAGGCCCGACCTCCCTGTGACGCTTACTTATTTTCCAGATGTCGAGAAACTGTGTCTTGTGCTTAAGAATCAGCTCCAAGTGTCGCACTAACACTGTTCCATGTAGGAGGCTATCAACAACTTGTGTGAACACAGCCTCGGCGGTGCCCATCAACTTCCTTCCCTCCTTTGTGATATTGGCCAACATCTTCTCATCGGTCCCTGATCAGGGTAGCAACACAGTTAGAACCGCGGGTCCCCCTCCCAGCCGCCTCATGGCCCGTTGGCTCAGCCCCAACTTCTGTGCCGTACAACCAAGCCACTTGTGTCTCCAGCTGCCCCGTTCCCGTCGGAAACTCACGCTTTCACCGCTGAGTTCCCGTCTCAGCCACAGTCCTTCCCAAATGTCTTCCAGACAGGCCAACCACACTCCGCAGGTTTTCCTCAACTACACGGGATCCCCTCCCCACGCCCCCGCCGTGTTCAGACTCTCTGCAGCGGAAGCGTAAACTGCCCAGGCAGGCTGTTGGCATGGTCTAAGGAGCACCTACAGGGCAAGTGCAGAGAATGTAACATGGAGCCGCCGACCTACGTGGTGAAGAGGACTTCACCTTCTACAGCTCTCGGCTCTTTCGCAAAACTTGGGGTGTGCATTGGGGGTGAGTGCTGAAGGTGGAAAGTGAAAACACAGGGAGAGGCAAACAAACCTCCAGAAGGTTTCTTTCCCCGTAATAACGGGGCTGTGATAGTATCAGGAAGGTGCCCCGGACACAGGGGTAAACACCCAGCGGCTAACCAAAAGTCCAGGGGTTCAAATCCACCAGCTGCTCCATAGGAGAAACATGGGGCTGGCTGCTTCTGTAAAGATTATAGCCTTAGAAACCCGTGAGGCAGTTCCACTCTATCGTATACGGTCACGAGGAGTCAAAGTCACCTCAACGGTGACAGGGACAGCATCATGAGAAGATGGAGTTATCTGTGCTATTAAACAATATTTACAGCTTTATTAAAATCTGTCCAAACTCGGAAGCAACCAAGACATCCTTCAGCAGGTAAGCAGATCGACAAACTGTGGTCCATCCATAAATGGAGCCTTACTCAGTGATAACAGGGAGTATCAAATCAGTAAAGGGCACACAGGAACCAGGACACACACTGCAGAGTGGGAACAGCCGGAAAATGCAACACTGCAGAGTGTAAATGGTCTGAGAACACAACACGGAGTAAAAATTGGTCAGAAAATGCAACGCCATCGGGTGAAAACCGGCCTGAAAATGCAACACCATGGAGTGAAAACCAGTGTGAAAATCCAACATGGCCGACTGAGAACTGGTCCGAAATGCAGTACCACCGAGTGGACACCAGTCTGAAAACACAACAGAGCTGTGTGAAAACGGTCTGAAACCACAACACGGCCAAGTGAGAACGGCCTACAAACGCACCAGGCGGCATGACCGCACCACGACATTCTGGGAAAGGCAAAACCAGAGGTACACTGGGAAGATCAGTGGTTGCTGGGGCTCAAGGGGAGGAGGGGGTGAGCAGTGGGACCCAGGCTACACGTAGGGCACAGAGACCTTCTGCCGACACCGTCAAAGTGGACACCTGGCATCACACAGCTGTGAAAACCCATGTGTTGTTAGTGGCTAACTGATGGGTCAATTCCACCAAATGATGACACCCACCCCCCATATGACAGGACCATGCAAGGAGTGAAGCCCAATGAAATGACGCATGGATGGACTCCAGCTGTTAACACCGTACCAACACTGGTTCACTTGTAATTAGTGGGCCGGACCAGCGCCAGGCGACAGCTGGGGGTAGGGCACATGGCTATTCACACTTCCAGGAAACATTTCTATAAATTGCACTGCTCTACAAAATAAGTCGTATTCACTAAAAAGCCCACAAGCACCATCTTTTCAACTGAGCAGCTTTTAATGACACACATGGCACTCCCACACTGACCGTAATTTTTGTCCCTACGATTATATGATCATCAACCTGAGATTTCCTATGCTTTCCCACGAAATCTGAAGGTAACAACTTGCGTATAAACCTCAGGCCACGTTTTTAGGGTAAGACATAGCTCCCGCTCTTTGACCACAAACACTCAGGGTGTGGGGGAGGTGAAAGATCAGTCGGCACTCAGTTTTCCGCCAGGTCATCAACACTGGGTGGGACATCCTACCATGACCACAGGTAAGGAGGGACTGGGTTGGAGAGGCAGACAGACGTGGTTTCAACTTTAGCTCTTCATACTTACGATGGCTCAGACCTTGGGGAAGTCCCATCCACCCCAAGCTTCCCATTCCTCACCAGAAGAATGGGGATCTTAAGGAGGCCTTGGGAGACACCCTCAAGCCCACCACCTTCAAACCCACTAAGCAGTACTGCAGAACAGAGCCCTGGTGACCTGTTTCCACTCAGATCACAGCCAGTAAGCCCTGGAGGTAGTTCTCCCCTGTAACACACAAGGTGGGTCACGTGAATCGGAGCCGACTCACCACGACAGACAGGAGCAAGCGTCGGCACAGAAGCTGCCGTCGAGCAGGATCCAATGAAGGGCGGCCTCTGGATTCACTCTTACTGACCACGCAAGACACCCTGAGCCCTTCTGGAGCCCCATCCAACCCGCTTCCTTCACCAAACATCAGCCCGTCCTCATACTCAAGCCAGGGGACCCCACGTCAGAGCGCAGACGGTCCCGGCCCACCCCACACGCACCATGCAATCTGAAGAGCTGCTTGACATCTGGCCCCGTGAGCAGGTACTCCAACACGCTGTCAGCGTCATCCACAGCCTCCCCGTCGCGCTTCGGCCAGGACTTGGTGACCACAGCGGACACGAGTGTGCCGAACTTCCGCAAATCACGAAGAGAAAGGCCGTCAAGGATGCTGGTGTGAGACTGTCAGAAAATCGAGAGGGAAAGTCAGGAGGTTTTTCTTTGCTCATTTTTAAACAGCAATAACTTACCAACCCAAGGCTATCGCTAAAATCTGCTGTAGCGCATTGGATAAGGCTGCAGAAGAACAAATTGGGCAAGGGTCACCATTTCTGTTTCCCCGCATCTGGGGCCCCCCCCTTGGGCGTAAGCATTTCCACTTGCTTCTTGCCATCATTGCTGTGCTCGTCTTGGGAAATTGGTGACCTCATCAGGAGCTACCTGCAGGGGTGCTGCATCTGTGGTTCCACGAGTGGCTGTGATGTCACACTGCCTGTGACGGCATGTGCTGAGCCGCTGTCAGGCTGGCCCCGACTCGTGCCAACCCCATGCACAACGACACACGAGATACCCCGGCCGGGAATCGAACCTGCGTGTCCTGCACAGGCGGACTCTCCCCAAGTCACAGCTGCCCCCATCAGCCACCGGGAAGCATCAGAGCGAGCAGGAAGAGCCTTCTCAGCACCATTCCTCTAGGGCAGTGAGGGGGACGCCCACATCCCACGCCCCTTGGACCAGCACAGGTCTCAAGCCCACCCAGGCCTTAGCAACCTGCAGCTGAGGGAATGAGCAACACAGCTGCGATCCACACACACTTTCCAAGTCGGGGCAGCTGCTCACCTGGCAGGCCGAGCTCACGGCTTCCACAACACAGCTCTTGAAGCTCTGAGCCACGCTGTCGTCCAGGTGTGAGGCATCCCAGGCAGTGTTGCAATAGGCCAAGATCTGCAAGTGCGGCCTTTCCTGGACAAGCAGAGATGTGAGGCGGCGCTGTCAGATGCTGGGCTCTGGTCCTCGGGGAACCTTCACCCTGCCTCTGCTGCGCCACTCTCCTACCATCTGAACAGGCTCCCGACCCACATGGAGATGCCCTCCCTGCCCCAGACCAGCAAGGCTAGAGAAAGTGACTCCTCACGCGAGCAGAACAAGCGTGAGACACGGCCCCTGCGGAAACAGGTGAACACCGGGTTAGAAAGGAATTTCTCTCTGCTCCTGTTTTCCTAGAAGATCCGTTTGCCAGCTACCTAGAACGCCCACTCTCTCCTCTCAGGTCAACACTAACTTTCTGGGCCATTCGTGTGCTTTCTGCACCTGTCGCTGCGTTTGGTGACACCTGTCATCCACAGGTCTTGTGGAGCTCCTACCCACAGAGGCTTCACCCAGCTAATGCCTCAGGGTCCCTGCGGCCAGTACCAAGATGTCCTCCAGAATATTGCGGCCCAACCTTGTTTTTTTCTGCCTTTATTTTTTTATCATACTTTAGGTGCAAGTTTACAGAGCAGAGTTGGTTTTACATTCGACATTACGTGTACGTTTAGTACTATTGCCCATTTATCGCCCCCAACCCTAACCCAGTCTCCTCCCCTCCCTGCCCAACTACCCCCGTCACAGCCCAACTTTGAAACGTTCACAGGGACCAGACTACCGAGCCTGGATCAGAATGGAAAGGTGAACCAGGACCCGAGTCCCGGCCGCACACACAGCGAGGTGTCAGCTCGCTCACAGCAGCCAGGTGTTGCCTCACACACAGCAGCCAGGTGTTGGCCCACACATAGCACTCCTGTCCCTGGTGGTTCACCCCCTGGAAGGACGCCCACGACGGGAACTACCTGCTTCAGCCTCCCTTCCATGTCACCCAGCAACGCCTCCTTCCAGCCATGTTTCACAGGGAAGCGTATCTCCACCAGCCGTCTCCAGACCTGCAAAACCCACACATCCAAGGTGACCATAATGACCACTAAATGCTTCTGTTAAGGGTGACGGAAAAACCCAGGATCAAGCAGTCTCATGGTCGAACGTGAAAAACGTAGCTAATGTCGCTGATTGTACATGTGAAGGTTGCAGAAATATTGGATGTTTTGTTACCTACATAAACCAAACCCACTGCCATTAAGTCAGCTCAGATTGCTAAGTGACCTGTGTGACCGAGCAGAACTGCCCCAGAGGGTTTCCAAGGCTGTGATCATTACGGAAACGGACTGCCTCATCTTTGTCCCATGGGGTGGCTGGTGAGTTTGAACCGCCGACCTTTTGTTTGGGGCCAGGGACTTAACCACTGCACCACCCGCATCCCCCTAGAATGTTATAGTTTCCACAACTGAAAACAGATACAAAATCAATCGATTAAAAATTTGAGATCTGCCAATAAACCTCACTGATGAAACAATCTTTCAAAAATATCATATAAATCAATAAACACACAGTAAAATAAAAATTTTACTTATTTTAAAAAGTGTCATTTATGAAAAAGGAAGCTAGACAAGGATGTGCTGACCACACAGAGCACCAGAGCACGTGGGGGTCAGTGAGAAGCCACGGCAGCCCAGCCCAGGCTTCCACGATGCACAGACCATCCTCAGCCTGTACGACTACGAGACCAGAAGAGCTAGATGGCGCCTGGCTACCACTGTCGCCAATCGGAGGGGGATCAATGTGGGAGATCCGAGACAGAGAGGGAGAACAATGTGGAACAAAACTCAAAATCATTTGGAAAAAGGAGGCGGGGCAAGATGGCGGACTAGGCAGAAGGATTGCACAGACCCTCTTCAACAAAGAAAAGGGAAACCAATTAACACAGACACAGAAGATAATCTT